TATAACGGGAAGTTTGCTGGGTGCTTTTCTTGCATAGACACTATCTCATTCAAACCTCACCAACGCCAGGAAGGTAGATACTATTATCTCTTCTTCACAGATGGGAAAACTGAGGAGGTTGCCCAAGTTCTCAGAACTAGACATGATTCCCAGGCAGCTGACCCCGGAGTCTACACTCCCAGCCACGACCCCTCTGGGTTGCAGAGGAGGAAATTACAGCTGGGAGGAGCAAATGGCGTTGCAGAAGGGGTCCCTGAGCAAGTCACCAGGGGCTCCTGTCCCCACCCCCTCCCCATGAGGAAAGGGGTTCCAGGAACTGTGGTGTCTGGTTCCGCAGAGCTCAGCGCCCTGTCTCCCTCTACTGTAGTCGTCAGCGTTTGAGGGCCCGAGGCCAAAGAGTCCCTGTATTTGTGCAAAGTCAGATATAAACAAGACACCTGGGGGCAGCTCACTCCGGCTACTTGGGTCATGGCCTGGGAGCCAGGGTTGGGTTCCTCTCAGGGCATCAGGCCCGGGGTGTTTTGTGACCATGGTCACCTCACTTTCCCAGTCTAGGCCTCAGTGTCCTCCTGGATGAAAAGCAAGACCCTTGAATCCCACAACCCACCCAGGGCACCTTCCTTCCAACATCCACAGATTCAACAACCAACTGTCACTTTAAGTAGCTGCCTCTCCTTAAGAGAAATAAGACTGAATAGGATTAAATGGCAGGACCCAGCTCAGGAAAAGCCTCTCAAACCAGCTCAGGCTTTAGCATCCTTCAGAGCAGGGCTGGGGAGCTCCACCTACTCCCCCATCCCATCCGGCCCCCACTCTCCCACCCACACTCTCTCACCCCTACCCTCCCAATCACTAACTCTGCCCCCTTGAACACCAAGCGGCCATGCGGGGAGTGAAAGAGGATTGCAGAGGGACCCTCTGACACCCAGGTGGCGGAGTCATTCGAGGCAGTGCCCGTCACGTCGGCAGGGCAGAGGTTTGCAGTTGCCAAGCTCTCTCGGGAAGCATGGTTTGAGAGCAGCTGCTCAGACCACCTTACCCACTTCACACAGTATTGTAACCCCCACCCTACACACACATCCTCATGGCCACAGTGTTGTCTATTTTAGGCAAGTGCAGGGGATACATTAAAGTACAATCTAGCACCCTGCTCCTCTCAGCTCTGCAGCTCTAGTACCTAGAAACTGTAACATAATACTTACAACAAATACACCCATCAGCAGAAACTCCTAGCTCTCCTAGAAACAGTATTCAACAGCAGTGATGCGAAGAGCTAACCCTTCTTGACTGTTTACTATGAGTTGGGCCCTATAATGAGGCATTGTTACATTGAACCTTCCCAACTGTTTATGAGAAGGCACTATTCCATTTTACAGATGGAGAAATTGAGGCTCGGGGAAGAGAACCCTCGCTTGCCGAAGGTTTCTGAACCCGGTTCTGCTATAGGAGGGTACTTTGCAATGAAGAATATACACTGACCGGCCAGATTATTATGACCACCCCCATCAGTACTTCACTGACACGTCCAAAAATACTGAATATTGAAAACTTCCTAAGCAAATACTCTCAAGGTTGTATTATTATTACTATTTGCGTAACTAATTCACTTCATTGTACTGATGGGGTGGTCATAATAATCTGGCCGGTCATAATAATCTGGCCACTCAGAGGGAACTCAGACACTAACATAGCAATGCATTCATTCCGCAAACATTTATTGAACACCTACTTTGTGTCCGGCCCTGTGGTAAGGACACAACAGTGAACATAGAGGCCGATGGAGCACAGTGAGGACAGGGGGGTTAGTAGGGCCCTAGAGGCCATGGTGAGGACTGAGGGTTTGATCCTAAGAGCAAAGAGGAAGTTGGGGGCAGGGGGAATAGTGAAGGTCATATGATCAAAACCTGTGTTCTTGGGGACCATTCTAGCAGTAGAGGGCTAATACACTGGAGATGGCAAAAGTGAAAAGGAGGCCATCTGACAGTGGCAGTAGAAATGGACTGATCCTCAGACGAACATACTCAAGGTGGGAAATATTCACATGATTGTAAAACTTCAAAACCAGGGAGGCGTTGCCTGGTGTCTGAACCCAGCAAGCCTCTCCAGTGAACTGCAAGTTTGAAACAAAGACCACTTTTCTAGAAGAAAAACAACAACGGACTCCTCATTTGAAGGGCTGTAAATAACTTGATATTTACAATACCAAATGCCCAATTTAATAGTTTGCAAGGAAATGTAGCCTACAAAATAAGTAACTACTAATGTGGGGGGTCAGGTGGGACAGCGAGAATCACTAACCAATAAACTACAAGGTGACATGTAAGCCCGCCGTGGTAGGAGAGGTACAGCGGAACCAGCGAAGGCAGCATGGCCAGAGTCTAGACAGTGACTTTGGACTTCAGATTCCACCTCTGAAAAATGGAAACAACGGCCCAGTCGGTGTGGCTCAGTGGTTGGGCATCGACCTATGAACCAGGAGGTCAGGGTTAGATTCCTAGTCATGACTCATGCCCCAGTAAGGGGCATCATTGATGTTTCTAGCTCCCTCTCCCTCTCTGAAATCAATTAAAAAAAACATATTTTTTAAAAAATGGAAATAACAATTTGTGAAGATTAACTGAGATAATAAAGTGCCTGGCCCTTAATGGTAATTATTAAGTATTTAAGTAATTCAATGGAAAAGTGCTTAGTTTTGCCCCATTTCCCCCCATAGATTAGTTAAAGCAAACTTTTTTTTTTTTTTTTGATGCACTACTGTTGAAATAGGTAGTTTACATTATTTTGCTGTGATGGTAAAATGACTCAGGAAAGCATACCTTTAAGATTTGTCAGATAAATTAGTCAGATACTATTAATATACTTTT